TTTGAATTAATCTGTATTGCAGTGCAATGGATTGAACAGTTTATATAAGTAGACCTTACAGTATCAGGGGCTCAGTTACCGCTGATGGGTTTGGTGGGGCTCTCAGGACGGAGTTAAGCAGTGTCCAGGCCTTGTGCTGTGTCTTCTCACAAGCTGTGTTTTGCTACCCGTCCTAAGTGGGAATCAGAATAGAGTTCCCCCAAAATATAGGTATCTCTGCCTGTTCAGGACACTTATTATTGCCTGTGTTTTAAGATGACTCTCAAGGCCAAACTTTGTAGTTCAGTTATCATTTTAGCATCAAAAGCCACTTAACTCTTCATGAAAAACAGCCTGAACTGGAGTAAGTTTGCATTAGAAAATGGTGTTTCCATAATATGCTGCATCTCAGAAAAGCATATAGCAGGCCTCAAATGAAAAGGAGATCTATTTAGAAGAAACCTGATAGTTTATCTGTGCATCATTTTGCACTTCGGCTTCCTTCCTAACACTGAAAAACTAGCCTGCGAAAGCCCTGCTAAAATGTGCTTCTACACACCGACATTATCACTTTGTAGGATGGTACGTTTTATTATCAGGTTATTTTCCGGTACATTTGGCACAGTTAAGGTAAGTATATTAACTTTACTTCCAAATAAAGAAAACAAAGTTGTAGTGAACGTCTCAGCCATTGTCAATGAGTTAAGAACTGACAGGAGGTCCAAGTAATCAACCCTGTCGACTGCGCAGGGTTTTCCCCTGGGACATCTGCTCTGATCATACAATGGAGCTGACTGGCATGAATGTAGAATTGCTTTCAATAAAGATTTTATTTCAAGCTTGGATGATTTCTCCCCAAATGTCTTGTCACGAAAGCAAAGTACCTAACACCTATTATTTTTTTTAACTCCTGTAAACCAGCTTTTGGGAAGGAGAGGAGCGTAAAATTTTGAGCTAGACATTTTTCATCCTAACAGTTAAAATTTACATGTTCAAAATGATTGGAAGCTCGGTAATATCAAAAGTCAGAAAACCAGCAACATAAAAACCGGCCCATAACTGTGCAGTCAAGAAGGTCTGTTAACGGTGATGTATTTAAGGTGAGTAAACTCAGCAGAGAAGGCAGCTGAACCATTCCCAGGGCACCGCTCTTAAGCTAAAACATCACATTTGCATGTGCCTGTCTATGTATAGGAAACAGATATTAGCTAATTTGAGGATAATTATTGGTAAAGCGAATCAATGGAATGTGCAGACTTTGACCCATTAAGCTAGGTCATAGGAATTTACATATCAAATCAGCCCAGTTGTCCATCTGGATGAACGACTCTGTCTGCCACAGTGATTGCTACCACTTTTCAGGAAAGGTACAAAAACCCACTGAAATGGATAGTCGTGGAACAATCTGCTTGGAGAGGAGCTGTTCCTCAGTTCTGTAAGGTTAGTTGTTAAACCAAGAGGATAGGTGTCACAAATATAAAATTGTTCTTTTTCTCCCCCTTTCCTGGGAGTTTTCTTTATTCCCATACATCTTTAGCCTTTCTTGGCCTCTGTTTGGGTCTTGGTTTCCATAACCTAGTTAAATAAAATATCGTGCATAATGCTGTAGGTGGGCAAGATCCGGATTAGATGAAAGCCTGCCTCTGTCCTTTTGCCATCTGCAGCTTTCAGAGGACTGTGTTTCCTGCACCGGTGACCTGCCCACAATAGTTTCCCAGATCACCCATTCCTACTATTCTCATCCTCTCTTTTTGTAGTGTATTGCCATGTAGTCATAGGCTGTATTACGAGTTCATGGAAGAGTGGTAGGATCAGCTTCTTGAAAAGTTGCCTTTTAATGTAATTTAAAACAGTAAAAGGCCACTAGTCATGACTGAAAATGGTTCTGCTAAAGGCAGAAAACCCCCTAACATTGAGCAAGCTTAAATCCCCGTGAGCTGGAGAAGGCTAACAAAATGAGATCGAATGGTTCTCATTTCAGCTAGCAGAGGACAGCACTACCCTCAGATGCTCTACAGCTTACCAGACAGTTGCCTTTCAAAAGAGGTTTTCCTCTCTAAATACACTGACTTATCTCCCTAATAGGAAATGTGTGGTAGGAACTTTAAAACTTTAAAAGGGTGAGGATCAGTGTCACCACTGAAATGCTTTCTTCTCCTCAGTAGTTCATATGGAGTAGAAATGGGTGAAGACCATTTCCTAATATCTACTGCGTTTGAAGTAATAGTCCCGTGTGCCTTCCAAATGTCACAATTCATAATAATTTTAATTAGAGAGTTTGAAAGTGCAGGTTTAAATGGAGCTAGAGAGCCAAACTCACCATACAATGACCCTCTTTGCTGTGTAGTTGCCCTACAATGAGATACATCCTTTCCAGCTTATAGTTGCCTTGGTAACGGCCAAAGCATACATTCTAAGTATTTTTGCTTATGTATCTGCCATTGCCACTACAGCCCTCCTATCAGACACTTCGACTGCTTTAATAGATCATTAATTTCATTATTATTAATAATGACATCTGTATTTTCTGTATCTCTCCTGACTTGTGATCTTAATGGACTTGAGTAACTCTCTAAGTTAGCAATTCTGCTTACTTTTGGGGGAGAGAAAAAACCTTGCACAGCATAAGGCTCAACAATTTCTTGACATGATTCCAACATCTGTAGCACTGGATTATAGATTGTTTCTAAAATAATCTTAAACTGATGGATCACTGCTCCTTTCATTTGGGCCTGACAAAAAGTAGCTCTGGCATTTCCTTTCACTTTTTATGTTGTAAACTGTATATCGCTTTTTCTCCTCTTGCCAAAAAAGAATGCTTCCCCATTTCATAAGGATTTTCTCTTTGAACAACTGAATTTCACTTAGCAGCTACAGTAATAGCTTAAATTGTATACAGTTGTTTTTGACCTTTTTCTTTTGTTGGCAGATGAAAAAAATATCAATTACAGAATTTCATTGGTAAATATTTTTAATTTAAAAAGGTATACGGTCCGAAAGTCATAATTATTTTCTCTAGACTGGATTAAGTGCTATTTAAAATTTCCTTTCAAATAAGAAATTCTTCGTTCCCTCCAGTAGCTATATTTTACTACGGGTTGTTTAACTACTCGGACTTTCTTGAAAAGTAATTCTGTTCGTTTGGCTCATGGTTTATTATTATGGTCATCAAAGAAAGTATAGTTGCCTAAACGTAAAGAAAATCTCAAGGATCCACACGAGATGTTAGTAATACAATAATTATTGCGCTAGCATGAGCCATCGAGCCCTTAGAGACTCCTGCATAAGTGGCATTTGGGAAAACAACCTTGCCACCCTTGTGACAAACGCTTTTCACTGCTAAAGATGTGTGACGCCCATCAGAAGCCCACACAGTTATTTGGCAGCAAAACTACTAACTTTTGAGACTTTCTGAACTCCTAAGATAAGTAATGGTATGTTAATATTACCACAGAGGAAAGATAATTATTTTTCAATTTGCAATAAAGACGCTATATTTTAAGAAACTAATAATTAAGCCAATCTGATTAGTGCCATATGGAGAGTGTTTTGTGCAACGGACGCCACGGTGACGCGCACGAGACAGAACTACAGTAATGCCTCCTATTTATACATGAAAGATGAGCATTTTTGTTCAAGGAATGCGGTAAACGACAGGATTGGCAGAATTCCACCAGCAGATACTCTTTGCTGTGTGACCCACCCGCTAACACGAAGGAAACCTTTTTCTTTTTAAGTGATTGAACCCAAGGTGCCTCGTGACGTTTCTGCCACTTACAGCGCAGCTTGCTGCCACTTCAGCAACAGGTATAGGAAAGCAGAGATGGCTCTGGTGATTTTTAAATTGTGTCTGGATTTTAAAAAGGAATATGAGATTGATAAACAGGGAGAAAGAGGGTAGAAAAGCACGTACAGAACTTATCTTCCACGGTACCCTTAGAATATTCCAGTCTAAAACTAAGAGGTTAAGAAAACATCCATAAATCAAAACATTTTCATAATAAAGTTACATTTGGTTTGCATTCCTTGGTAGAGCTGTGTAACTTATTTATAAAATATATATCTCAATTTATTACTCTTTCCAGCCTAGGATATTTCACATATTCTGGAGGGCAGAAAGAAATGGATTCATACTCACCACTGCAGAGATTTAGGCAAAACTGCCTACCTAAACTACATCCATTAAACCTGTATTGTTCTTAGATCAGACTTCTCAGGCGTTAATGTCTGCTCCACAAGAACAGTAAGTCTTAATGCAGACACGAGATCAACTTTTAATAAAAATAGTGCTTCTCTTATAATTCTGTGGAAAATAAAGATATCAAAGGTTTTAATCCTTACCATTATTTTCCAGATCATTCCATTTAAGGTATACAGTCTTAGTGCCTTTTAAGGAAACTTGTGTCAGGATAAAGCATGCAAAATTCTTCAGTTATATGAATTTCACAAACCATTTCAGAGTATACTAACTTTATTGGATTTAAATTAGCAGAAGGAATGTGTTTCATATAACCTTTATGTTAAGGGGCTTTTTTGTTTGTCCAACTCTTTCAGTTAAGGAGACCGCGCTAATAGAAGCAGGGAGGCTTCTCCGGGAGCCCTCAAAACTGTTGACACCGAAAATGCTTGATTCTCTTAGCAGAAAAGGCAAACCCTGTTTCCAGTGTCTAGATGCGGGAGCTCAGAAAATACTTCCGGTCAACAAGGATTACATAGCGTGGGCTCTGTAAGCAAATAGGTAGCCACTTGTGCCCCAAAAAGGAGAAAGCTGTAAGCCGGGCTCTAGCTGTCACCCCAGTACACATCTTGCTGTCTGTGGCTGAGCTGAACTTCCTTCCATTGCTCGTCGTGTTGGCAGAAGTTGTCCCTTCCCTCCCTCTTTTCTTTCTTTTTCCTAACTCAACCAAATAAACATCACTGTTAGATGAACCAGTGAAACGTGTCTCTAATGCACTTCAAATGCAACAGCGACTCCTTTGACATCCCTCTTTTTTTAACCAATTCTTTCCTTTCGTCAACAGGATAGCAGCCAAGGAATCCGTGAATCTTATGTCAACACAAAGCTTAGGAATTGTGTTTGGACCAACACTCCTTAGACCTGAAAAGGAGACAGGGAACATGGCAGTCCACATGCTGTACCAAAATCAGATAGTTGAACTTATGTTGAGTGAGTACAGCAAGATCTTCGGCTCTGAGGAAGACTGACAGACAGGGCCTGTTATTGAAAACGTTCACATCTGTCTTGATGTCTAATATTTTTACATTTCTGTAAACATATTTCTGAAATATTTCTTTTTCTTTCAAGTGACAGATGCCTCATTTTGTGAAAACTTAATGATGATTTTGTGTTTAATTTTCAAACATTGGAATAAAAAATATTGTCAACATTTGCCTATATGTATTCTGCATTAACCCTTTGAGAGTTTCATTATGCTAGCACTCCAAGTGTCATTTTTTTCAAGCTGAACATACAGCATATGGCCAAAGACCATAGGAAATGCTGTTTACCAACATACGCAATGGCACAGAAAGACAAATAGTAATTGAGGAGATTTGTGGAAAATGGATTCGAACATATAATAAAAGCTACGAATTAAAACAGAGATTTCGCATCATTTATAGTTAATCTGAGTATAATTTACCTAGTCTCTTTTGATACATATTGAAAGTTAAAGACACAATGAATAACCAATTCTCCCATCCTAAGAGTTCAAAAAAGATTGCATTTAATACTTCTAAAAATTTTTTAAGTCTCTAACTATTTGTAAAATAGTGCCTAAAAATTAAAAACACAATTGGAACTTTGACATTTTTTCTTGAATGCAGTACATGAAACGAAGACATTGCATGACTGCTCATTTTAATGTAACATCCATTTTGATTCTTCATCACACTGTACATCTGCCCGCTTTTCCCAGCTATCTCATGTTCTGTAGCATTTGTATTGTGCTCCTGAGGATGCTTTATTGGTGAACTACATTAAATTCATCTAGAAAGAACTTTAAAAAAAAGCCTTTTCATATGCCCTTAGGATTACTTGGCTAGACTTGAATCAATTTATGCATTTGATGGTTAGTTTCAGTTGTCATGGATAAACAAAAGGGTAACTGTCTAGAATATATCAAATATTGTTTCATTTTGAAATGTATGTTTCCAGCTATACACATCTCCTACCCTGTTTTGTAAAAGTATTCTGCTGATAAAATGTAGACTTATGTTTGACAGCTTTTTAATCAAGTTCAAAGAGAATAAATAAAACTAATCCAGTGTGGTAAAGAGTCTGTCTGGTTATCGATTTGTTCATAAAATGAAAAATAAACCATGTAAATAAGATGTGTGAAACACAGATCTAGAAGCAAATATTTAAAGCAATTAAAGACCCCCAAAACATAGGATTAATGCATAGGTCTGCTGTGCACGAGAGATATGTCTTCAATATCACCTCAGCAGATCATGAATTGCTCCAGTTTTTACTTAGCATCATTTTCCAAAAAACTGTGTTATGCAGGAAAGCTTGCTCCTCAGAGCTGTCATTTATGAGGACAAATGTATAAGAGTGAGGCCCGAGCATTAACCACAACCAGGCTCTTTCACCAGGTACTGAGATAGGCACCGAGATACAGCACCGAGAACACCTGAAAAGTGTCCGAGTCCAGTGGCCCCGAGATGTCTTCTGACATTACACACGGCCAAAAAGCAAGCACAACAGAGGAGCAGTGACCAGTAATTAAAATCAAAAACACAAAATCAAAAATGTACTGTCTTCTCCTATATCACAAGTATTCAACACAATCATTTCAGGACAAAACTGCAGCAGCCTGAACAACCCAAATTCACTTTACTTTCAAGAAAAAATTTTTCATGTTAATGTAAAACCATGAGGACTTAAACAGTAATGTTTTCCAGCATCCTAGTCTTTAGACTCTTTTAATAGCAACAAACCAGGCGCTGTTTATAGTCTGTGGAAATGACTGGAAGAAAGATAGTCAGAAGTTCAGTCTATTTCTTAATAAAGACCATTCACATTACGGCCCCATGGGTGCTCACAATCATGCTACTGAAGTAATTTCTGCTATTATTGGAAATGAAAAGTTCACTTGTTATTTGGATCCTGTTGCACTCAGAAGAAAGGATTCTTAATTAATTAATTTATCTTCTTTTAAGCTTTCTTTTGGAGGATGGAGATTCCTCTTTACTTGTTTTTATAAGCAAGACAAGGCTTATGAAATGAAGCTATATCTTTTATTAGATTAACTGGTTCGGCTGGAATTAAAAAAAAAAAAAACAAGCAAACTTTTGGACACACAGACTTCTCTTCAGCTTTGAAAGGCGCGTATATGAATTCTGCCCAAATGTGGTGACTCTCCATTAGAGGCTCTGTTAAAGATCGAAGTCTGCTACGCGGGGAAACGGCTTCTGGTGCGGGCAAGCACAGGTGCACGGCAGACGCCTCTCCTTCCTCGTCCAGACGATGGAAAGGAATAACCATGCCTTACTGAAACTGCTCATTTATGATATTCTGTAAGACCTCAGTCTTCTCCCTACCCCATTTAATATCTACGTGAATCCACTGGAAACATTTATTGACTTAACTGTTAGTTATATTCAAAGAGTCGGCTCCATGGCTCATGCCCACCTGAGACCATACCAGAGAGCAGCTGGGTGAGGCCAAAATCAAACAAAAGATGGAAAGAGAAAGAAGAGAAAAATATCTGCAAGTCTTAGCTGCAACTGTGGTTTCTGTTTCCTACTACTCAGGTAGTTTGCGCTCCATTAATCACATTCACAGCACGTGGGCCCTACACACTCTTTGTTGGGACATGTACGTTTTCACATTCAAAAAGCATCTGTAAGTTTGACTGGCCTTTGTCCATCTGGTACAAACACTTCAGTGAGCCTATGTCATCCCTGCATTGCTCCTCTAGTTGTTACTTACAGGAATATTCACTATAACTTGGCAGAAGTTTTGCTCAAATCTTGCTAAATTTTTAGTGAATAACACTTAGTCTTGCAAAAAACAATTGTTTTAAAGAGCTGGCCTTAGTTTCTTCCAGAAAGGGAAAGATCATGAATAAATTAAGCAAGGAGGTAGTATTGCTATTAATGGCAATTGGCTCAGAGAAACGAAGACTGAGGATGGAGCACAGCCAGTTGTCCAAAAATCAGCCTGTTTTTCTGCTTGTTCTCCCTATACAGAGCATTTTCTGAACAGTAAAGCTGGCATAAAAATCAGCTGTCACAGTCAAGGGATTACTACGGTAAAATGGCACATCAGAAGGAGACCTGTAATGGAATTTAAAAAGACATTTCCAATTGAAAGCTTTCTCATTGAAAAGAAAAGTCAATTTAATGAAACTTAAACTTTTTTCTAGAAAATTTGTCAATTTTGACTCAAGAAATTCAAGTGCAAAACAGAATTTCTGAGCAAAAGAAGAAAAAGACAGACCAGCACTGTTGATCTGCAGCTAGAAGAGGGCTTATTAGCAGCCCTGAGTTTCTCCCGCCCTGAACAAAACAATATTATTTATTCCTATGTGTGTCTCTCTCTCTTTTTATTTTTTTAGAGCAACATTTTAATAGTCTAACCTTTAGTTTTAGTTTAATAGCTTAATAGCTTAGTCTTTAAAAGTCTGCTAAGCAAGCCACAGCACAGGTAATATTCAGCCTGTTTTTGTAAGCTCTCCATGCTACAACAGAGCCTACGGCACTCAAGAAGTTAAGCTAATTGGTTAGCACACAGTATAGAGACCATGGGTGGAGTTTGGAAGAGAGCTGGAAAGTGAGAAGTTGGGACCACAATCACCACTGTAATCAGACCGTGTATAGATTTTACATGGCTAATTCTCAACAGAGGCTGAAAGACAAGCCTAAGGGAACGTACGTATTATCACCCCGTAGCAGGTTCCCGGGTGTTTCAGTCCTTCTGAACAAAGGCAACGTGGAGCGTAAGGGAGCCGAGTGCAATCACAGAGGCAGGTTTCAGTCAGAAATCCTGATTTTTGCAGGATGCAGAAATGGGGCTGGGGGCAATGCTTGTTTTGCAGAATGCAAGGACCTTCCCTGGCACTCATCCTGGATAACAGAAAAACTTCCCAAAGAAGGAAGGGCAACACATGAAAAATAATTTCCATCAAGCGGCACTGGGAGGCCAGGTCATACCCAAACCTTTTGTTGCTCCAGAGCTAGTACCCTCGGTACTCGAGGGAACACTTGTAGGATGCTACTAAAGCAGCAGCTACATCCTTGTGCCCATTCCCTCTACATTATCACAGCAGTTGAATCTATTGTACCATTACTCTAATATGCTGCAGGTTATTTTACATGCAGCAACTGCATACTTCCAAATGTACCGGGAAATTATAAAAATGAATGCTCATTTTTTTTCTGTATTTTTCCATCCATGTCATGTTACAGAGTTCTAGTTGCACATTGGATACAAAAACAAGCCATTTTTTCATACAAAATAGGTACTCAAGTTAGAAAGTTCAGTGCTCAAAACTTGAGCCATGGAGATGAGAGATTCATTACCATTGCACACCCACCATGTGAGAAACTGAGGCACAGGGTCAGGCAGAGAGCTCCACTTTTAGCGCTCATTTTATGCAACCACAATCAAACTTCTCAAGAAACTTTATGTTCTGCCCCATCATTTCCTCTGAATTCACTTATATAAACCTACAGTGGGGTTGCTGAAGCACTCTCCCTTATTATGGGTCAGATTCCAGGTGCTTCAAGTTAACTCCACAGAATGGAGTTAGCTTTGGAAAGCCTGATTTAAACTAGGTGACCAGCAAAAGGGGCTTCATCAGTCAGGCACCTGAACCCCCTACAAACCCTTCAACCATGATGAGGAACAGGGAGCCGCAATCAGTGGCCTGAGCAGTCTGCCTTGTCGCTGCCACCCAAAGCATCCTGCCCATGCGCCCCCAAAAAGCTGAGAGCACACTGTGAAACCTGGGGCAACGTGTTACACCTTCAGGAGAAGCTGATGGCTTTGTTTAATGAGTTTAAGGGGGACCATAAATCCCTACAAGTCCAGAACGCATGCCAATTAATTACCCACAAAACATCAGCATTTGAGAGCTGTGTTAGAGCACATTTCAGTTCATGAAAGGCAGACTCATAAATTGCACGTGGTTCTCCTTAGCCTGTTTCAAAACATAGTTCCTGTGCCCGGTTCCTGTTCATAAGTTTCGTGGTTATACGCCTGTGAGACGAAAGGAGTGGTTAACTCCCCAGTGGTGATTTCTATATTGGCTCTAAGAAGCTTTTCAAGAAGCTCAGAAGCTTTTTGAACACTTGCTAGTTGAGTTTTTGGTAGGTGTAGGTGTGCCCTCTGCCCTGGAAAATGCGGGTGACTGTACTGAAAGCAGTTCAACCAACACATTATTCAGCCTCCAGCCTACCCTCTGCAGGAAAAGAGACACAAGAAGTCCAACCATTATGTTTGACTTTCCCACCGGGGATGTTTCTTTGCAGCCTCAGGCAGCAAATGGTTTTAAGTAAATGGCTAAATACCCTGTATACGTTTCTATGTTTATATAGTTTCTGTCACTTATTCGTTTTTCATATCGGTAGGCTCCTTGTCTTAATGGTATCTGATGAATTTCCCAGGTTAATTATGCACCATGTAAGAAAATATTTTACTTGTATCACTTTTAAATTCACTAGCTTTTAGCATTATTGTATAGCACTCCACTTGTTCTTGATTTATGGGAAAGGCTAAATAGGATCGTCTGACTGACCTCTTCTGGCAATTCACTATCCTATACACCGCTAACATATCACCTCTTATTTGTCTCTTAATCAATTTAAGCCTCACTCCTAAGGAAGATCTCCCACACCTCTTATAACTTACTTTGCCTTTCACTGGGTGCGCAGTGTATCTATCCTGCTCTTTTGAACAAAACCCTAGGTGTTTAAGGTGAAAGGATCCCTAATATTTTCATTATTGATCTCTCCTCTGCTCTTAAAAGAATCAAATAGCTTGCTTGTATTGGATTGCTACTCTGCACCGAAGAGCTAAAATGCCATTAATAAGTCCCATGGGCCAAAGTGGCAAGGGAATTTTGGGACATAAATGCCATTTCAAGTCCAAACACACATTTCAGTGCTACTGTTTTCCACTTCACGAGCATCTCACCCTCCCTCGGTAGCATTAGCCCGGGTGCCGGCAGTGCTAGCCCCCAGTACCTCACCCTTTTTGCCCCACAGCCATGGCCAGCAGGTTCTAGGTTGTTACAGGTTCACTATTACATAAAGTAAGTATTCTACCTGG